TTACATACAGCAGATTCAGATTCAGAATGCTTTATTAGTCCCAAAAGGGCAATTCATTTCTGTCTATAGCAACAAAAACACAATGCAACAAACAGCCAACATCCCCAATCAAGCATCATCACATCAGCAACAACAACAGCACCAACTAAAACCAGTGACAGCATAGCAGAGCAGGAAGCAAAATAATTCACAGGTCACAATAATTTATGGTAAAATAAATCACAGTTCATTCTGCAATTGTGCATTTAGCAGCCTTATGGCAGACAGGATAAAAGAATTTGCATAGCGGTTTGTTTTCCGCACCGGCACATAATACCGCCGACCTGAAGGCATGATTACAAACTCACTGGCAAGAGCATGATCAGGGTGGGATAATATCCTGTAGATGTCTGTTGGCATGCCCTCAGTTTGAAGACATAGGTTGGAGTCCAACATGGAAGATAAGCAATGTACTGCTGTGATTGTGGACTGCAGCAAAATGTATTTTAGCCACCTACAACAATCAATATCAGATTAAACATATACTATATTGAGAATATTTTCACAGCTTTATCTTGCCATCAAGAAGCAATTTCCAGTAACCCAGGGAAATTCAATCTACTAAAATACAGTCCAAGGAAAAGCAACAAATACTTATATTTGAGAAGCGGGAAGCATTAAATGTTTGGCAATTTTGCTTGAAAATTGACTCAAATGATTAATCAACTGTGAAAATAGTTGCCCCTGAATTTTCTGTCAATCAACCACAGTAATCAATTAATCATTGCAGCTGTGTGTATCCACCATGTCTATACAGACTCACAGAGATCTGATGGTTGGTTATTTTGTGGAGAGGCATGAATCTCAAAATGTCAAACTGTTCCTTTAAACAATTATGTTGTAATGTAAAACCCTCAGCTGCTACAGGTATGTGTATTTTTTTTTAGATATTTTTTGGGGCATTTTTCTAGCCTTTTTTTGATAGGACAGACAAGCGTGAAAGGGGGAGAGAGAGAGGGAGTGACATGCAGCAAAGGGCCACAGGCTGGAGTCGAACCCAGGCTGCTGCGGCAACAGCCTTGTACATGGGGCGTCTGCTCTACCACTAAGCCACCGATGCCCCACAGGTATGTGTCTTAAAAGTAAAAATATAAATTGTGTCTGAGACATGTGGGTGAGAGTGTAGTAGTGAGGGATAAATGTAGGTCAACTTACTGTTTGCTACCACTTGGCTGGTATGGTGGGGGGCTGTGCTTGTGACCCGGCATACTGAAATTCAACTAGAACACCGCCTGCCAAAATTAAAAAAAAAAAACACGCACACAACAATTGATATTGTGAAAACATAAGAAAAGGCATCTGATGCTAATTATCAGACCTCTTTAACAACCCCAGCAACTTTATTTCTCAAATCTATGCAGCTACCTTTTGGGACCACTGAGGAAATAAATAAATATAAAGATGATACAGTTGGGTTTAGTTTAGGTAGCATGTTTTATCTTCTATAGCATATGAGTATAATTCATATTAGTGCCATGGTTTTCCTTACACTAATTTCTATTCAATTTGAAAAAAAAAAAAAAAAAAACATTCACAGAGAAACTGGTTGAATTAGATGACACCTCAAAGTTCTGTCGGTGTTGCTGTTATGTAGTGCAAACTTGTAGATAAACAACAGTTTATGTAATACCTTGCTTAAAAAAAAATCCAATAAAACCTTTTTCTTTTATAATAAAATTAGTCAAACTTATTAAATGTTATGCTAAACACTATCCAAACACAAGCAGTCGTGCAAAACCTGTCTAAGTCTAAAATTGTCCAAAGGTGAAAAAAAAAAGAAAAAAAGAATGTGAATATTTCATTCAAGATAAATAAGCAAGACCACATATGTAACCAGATTGTTAATGTTAGCTTTAAGTACTTGACAGTTTGTAATACTGTGTTTTGGGCAAACTTCTGGTTGGTACCGAGAAGTATGGATTGGAAAATAACTTGTTTGTCCACCTGCCATTGTGACTGGTGGATCCCAATATCTACCAGATACCCAATCGATTGCCATTGTTTTTTGGCTGGTGAGTGAAGCAAATCTAGCAGCCACTTGAATATTTTACCAGCAATTAGCTGGTGGCTGGTGCTAATTTCCAACCCTGGTTTGGAGGTTCCATACCCAGCCCTTGATATGAATGAGCCAAAATGTAAAACATTATGCTTGTGTAAATCTGGTATTGATTTGTAGATGTTTAAGTGTTTTAGTATTTAGGCCTATGTGTCAATGTTTCAGGCTACAGCATGATGGATAGTTCACTTCATCCACAACAAATCTTCAAATATTGACCTTCACCTGTGAACTGCTGTTCAGCTATTCAACCGAAAGAAGAGGCAAGCCTACTGCTTGGACTTCAGGATTGTTTGTGGTGAAACAAAGCCGCAGTAAGTGGGCGGAGACACACTGACACAAACTGAGACTATGTTTTCAAAAAAGAGCAGCTGATAAGTCAAACAGAGCAGGGTTAGCTGGTTTCACAGAGAGCGAAACTAGACTACCGTTCAGTCGTTAGAGTTGCCATTACATTCCTAATCATTTGAAGTTACAAGGGGGATTCACACAGCAGTAAAACAGACTAATAACGAATAACTATAATTTAAATATTCACATTTAAAGTAAGCCCAATGATCATTTCATGCTGTCATCACTGTAAAGATGAGAGTAAAGGCAATCTGCCATTTAAGAAAGCAAAGTGTAGCTAACTGCTCAACAAACAAACGCAGGTGTAAAACAATTCTTGGCTAAATTTCGGCCTAACGTTATCTCTAAAAAATGGCGTAAGTTAACTAAACTCGATATTTTCTCACGAAGGTAGCCTATTGTTTTTAACGACTTTAAAAGCTTTAATAAATGCTGTATATTCTGAAAATAGCGAGTCAGTTTGTCTCTTATTACATTCCGCACTCAAAATTAGCTTATAAGTTTTAATTTGACCCACCTTTGATGATGAACCGTCTGATCCCGATGAAGACAGCAGTGACGAACGCAAACAATACCCTAGGAGCGCGGCCGCATGCGTACTATAGGCTGCGCGAGTACAAAGGCACGCGCCTACAGGTGTGGGTTCATCATGTGGGCTCCTCCCCAGGTCATACAGGACTAACCTGTCCTCTCTCTCCGTAGCTCCCAGTTTACTCCACTTCAACTGAGACTCCACCCACCCCCATGACAAATAATGTAACTTACAGCATGAAATTACTAGGCTATTAAAATATTGGCATTAGACAAAAACAATAACACAGAGGGAGATAGGCTACATGTTAATATTTTGGTTTTATTATCAGTGTCCTAATATATTTCATACATTCAGTATTTTTTTCATTATCTTCAAATTCATAGGCTACTTTAAAATCAATTTAAAAAAATAATTGTAGGCCTACAGAACTGTATGGTCAATTCTTTTTGACTGTTAGAAACCTTACTTACTCATTAGATTTTTTTTTTTTTAATGATTTATTTTACAAAATAATTTGAACATGGTAAATGCTGATTTTGAGTGTGATAAATAGGCTACTAGTTGCTCACTAACATTTTAAAAATTCAAATTAAAACCTAATGTAACTTGAGGCAGAAAGGCTGACCTGTTGATCCAGCCTTTCTGCCAAGTAAAATCAACAGGAAACGCCTCCAGTGCTGCAAAACCTGACACCGGGGGAAGCAGTTAAAAAAATACACCTTGGCTTTACAAAACCAGTCCTTCGGGCTGTATACCAGCAGAGCCACAACAGCAGCCATTTTAAGAGGGTGACAGTTGTTTACTGGCATGGAGCTAGAAATTGCGTTTTGCTGCAGCCAGGTTTATCCAGGTCTTTCTAGATTTAAAGAATATTCAGTGTTGCTGAGGTGAAAATTTCATTACATCATTAGGGAGGGGAGCCGCACCTCTTTATGTAACAAAGCTCCCTGGATTCTTACAGAGAGATTCAATTACTTACTGTACACTACCACGAATGCTGCAAATGATAGCCTACTTAAGTATCCAATGCATACACACATTTTGTCCATTTTGCTCTGTGGTTGCAATTATTGTGAACAATATTAGAGATTATAAAAAAGAAATAACATTTGGACCATTATTCTTAAATAAGGCAAGAATCTGAACATGGTTTTCCAGAAAAAGAATGTTGCGGTTATAATTTCTTTAAGAAACCAGAATGCTCTTTAATAATTATCAGCATACAGTTAATCAGACTGTATTCTTATATAGCTAACTGTAGATCCAAACATTTATTTTATATACAATTGCTATGCATATTTTGTATTTCTAGCTGCACCAATGATAATAAAGGATAGATCAACAAGGATTTACAGTAAATAACTAGAATTACTGCCTCATGGTTGTATGCCTCTATGCAACCAGTCAAGTTGCAGTGCAGTTTACATCCATGTCTGTAAAAACATGGATGCTTCACACACATCTTACCCCCAGCAGCACAGAAGATCTATACAGTCAGAACAGTTTTAAGGTGGACACCCAACATTAGTGTTACCAATTCAGTATCCGATCAAAGGTATCCTCGTAACATAATGATGTCATAGTGAAGTTGTCTTTTGACCTTTTGAATATAAAATGTCATCTCTTCATCATTTTATCCTCTTAGACATTTCTGTGCAATTGTTCAACTTGGCTTATAATTTCTTCCAGTTTTGCTAAAAACATATGTTGTGAGGTCACAGCAACCTTTGACCTCCAAAATCTAATCAGTTCTTCCTTGAGTCCAAGTTGACGTTGCCAAATTTGAAAAAAATCTCTTGCCTTTGGCCACAGCTATATTAATTATGAAAATATTATTTTTTTCTGATTGTACTTTTTTTCAATAGTATTATTAACTTCATTGGCTCCCCTTAAGTATTCCTACTGCCCTGGACTAACTGAGCTTGGGCACCTGTTGGACTGAAACAGTGAACAGCAGATGTAACAGAAGTAAATCAAACAGGGCGTTAGCTTCATGCTTAAAGTCAAACACTGGAAAAATACAAGTATTTAAAAGGGTGCTTCATTATTGGCATAAAGCAGCAGGACATACTTATTATCATACAAAACAATAATACACACAATGGAACATATCAATGTACAAATAAGAGATTACAACAGGAGTCACTTAAACTAATTACAAAACAGCCATCTATTATATATAGCCTACCACATTGTGATTTCAGTAACAGGGTGAGACAAAGTTTGTAGCTTTTCATAAATGTTCACATTGTATCTCACAGTTTGAAAAGACTACTGGATAGAAGACATGCAATGTAAAAAACAATAATGGCAGCATATAATGAACATCATAGCAAGCAGCTAAACCTCTACAGTCTGACACATGCAATACATTAAAGTATTTTCTAAAATAAACCAACCACAACAAACTGCTGTTGGCACCTCTGTGCGCTTAAGTAAAGTAATAAACGTACTTTTTTGAACCTAAAACGTGATCTTTCCTTCTAAACCTAACCAAGTAGTTCTGTTGCCTAAAGTTCACCACAACCATTTCACATTAACCAAATGTGACAAAGTGTTTCAGCTGTGCATCACACAGAGATGCTGAAGGCCCTGTGCATCTCCATGAGACGGTGAGGCATATGAGAACAGGTTGGGCTTGCTGGATGTTATATACAATGAAGACCCTATCAATTATTTCTAGTTACACCTGACCCACTCCAGCTCTCGACAAGATTTTCAGGTCACATTTTTGATAAGGCTTCTTTTCTTAGCCTTTGGCTGCTGTATATAAGGACATTCCTACTGATTTATCTACTGATAGATGTTGTTTAAAGCTGTGAAAATGATCTTCTGTTTGTGATGACACCTAACAGCAGTAATCATGTTTTAATGTGATAATGGCATACAATCAGCAGTTGTGGTTTTACCAGTTCAGTACCCGCCTCCGTCCCTATACTCTGTTCTCTGTGCGACAGAGCACGTTCTCTTATATAGCTGCAGACTCCATATGAATTCCAGGTGAGTTAATGAAAGTGTTTAGTTGCTGTTGTTGTACTCCTGAATCTTCTGTTTGATATGAGAGAGTTTGCTCTTTAGGTACTCACACCTCTCCCTTTTTTCCAAATATGTTGGGTCCTGGCAAGAAAAACAGAAATACATTAAATAAAATATGTTACTTTCTTTCCTTTCCTATATATCAGAAACAGTCTCTGTGATAGTCAGAGAATATATAAGAAATTTTAGTGGTGGGTTACTGTAATGGCATTTGGGTCCAGGCTGCACCAACCAGCCAGCACGAGATCAGCGAAAGCAAGCACACACACATGAACGCGGTGCCCATGTCTCACGGTCTCGTGCAAGCGTGCACACTTGAACGTGGTGCCCAGAGAGGCAGTTAGAGCTACAGGCTACAATGAGGCTAAAAGGCGAGCTAAATCCGTTGTGTTTGATAACACTGTTGAACGTAAACAGAAGTGAAGTGTTTTTGTTGCCATTTGCGGAGCCTGGACTGCCTACAGAGACCGGACTTTTTCACAGCATATTCAGAGGACATGTAGCTAGCGGATCGCGAGGAGATGTTTGCTGTATGTGACAAAAAACTTTTCAAGCTTAGAAAGACTAAGAGAACCTTTAAAGGCACTGTATGTAAGAATGTGGCCAAAACAGTTACTGCACTCAAATTCAAAATACTGCTGTGAGTTGTGTCCGCCCCCCCTCCCCTACAGATTTGAGGTTGCTGGACAGCGGCACACTGGAGACTGATTTGTTTGCCCATGGACGGCTGCCTTGGCAGGGCCATGTCGCCGTGTCCATGATCTTCGGTTTTCCAGCGGACCATTCGAGCGAGTCCGGCTTCTCTGCTGCTAACGCTGCTGCCGGGATACAGCTGAGGAGAAGCCAGCTGCTAATGCTATGTACCGGGACACTGCTAATGCTGTTCTAAAACATAATAATGTGCTAAAACCTATTAATGAATGCACATTTCGATCTATTAGTAATGTTGATAGGCTAAATTCATCCTAAAAGGCTGTGTTATCTTTAATATGAGGCTCAAATATGTTTTGTGGCAGTTTTCTTCTGCCAAAAATGGCTCTTTTGATAGTAAAAGTTGCCAACCCCTTCCATATACAATAAGTAGCCTATGAGTTCGGCAGCTCACTCAGAATACAAAATAACAGTATTTTAACCATGTTCCATAAATCAATCAAAAAATACAGAATTGGACACTCTGGCACAGAAACAGCCTCTCAGAGAGTAACAGTGGCTGAATCATAAATAACATTTTATGATGTATACTTACAGCTTTCTTCCTCTGATACTCCATTAGTATGCCATTGATCCGCTCCTTTTCCTGAAACAAAATGATATTGTTACTGGACATTGTTATATAGTGTGTGTGTGTGTGTGTGTGTGTGTGTGTGTGTGTGTGTGTGTGTGCGTGTGTGTGTGTGCGCACGCGCGTGCCATGGACTTTATAAAAAAATAATGGACGTAGCCACCGTAACATCACCCATAGGTTTGTGGACTCCTGTTTTGAAGCCTTCAGTTTGGCATTTTTGCTGTCACCATCTTGGATTTTTGGAGCCAGAAGTGACCATATTTGGTCAGTGTGGTGATAATCCAAATGTTAGCTGCTAGCTTGGGCGCATGCTGATTTATAGCTATGGTTAACTTTGAAAATGCTGATGCTAATTTTAAAACATTAAAAACAAAAATTGCTTCCAGAAAAAACTGACTATCCAAGGCCTTAGAGGATCTTTTAGTACAACCAAATGCTACAACCAAAATGTTACAATTAACAATCATAAGCTGAAAAAACACTGAAATAGTGACTACTACAGTGACTTGTTAAGAGATGGCACCCAAGCAGCCACACCTTTAATTATGCATAACTTTGATGCCTTTCATAAGCCTTAATAATTTTAAATGGGTGAGTTATATAAAAATTCAACCCCTGATCAGCTGTCATGAGCAGGAAATTAGCCATCGAGACCAAAAACATGGTTTTATACCAGGCTGTAAACAGTTATTTCTGCTGTAAAGTTGGGCATTTTAACATGGGGGTCTATTGACTTTCTGTTGGAGCCAGCCTCAAATGGCCATTACTACAGGAACTGCAGTCTCTGGCACTTGCGCGTTGGATTCATTTTTCAGCCCCTGAGGTTGCAGCTGTGTGTGTGTGGATGTGCATGTATGTGTGTGTATGTGTATGTATTTGTGTAGAGAGGAGTGAGGGCTGTACCATTTGGCTGGAAGGCCGGGCGGAAAGGTTCTGCATCATCTCATCCATCTCTTCAAACTTCTTGGCCATGGCCTGAACCTCAGCGTGCAGCTCCTTGTACTCAGCATACTGGTCATTGAACACAGCCTTGTACTGGTCCCTCTCCTCCTCTGAGCGGATGCTGGGGTACTTCCTGTGGAAAGAGGACAGGAGACAATATATTTTCTTGGGCTTCTGTCTACATTCACACTACATCTGTATGTGAGAATGTGTCTCAGTCTCTTTGCACTAGTTCCTAAGGATGACAATAAAAAAATCAAACACAACTACTGGCATGATTACCACCATATGCCATATTCCTGTTTCCTGAATAAGGATCTTAGGATAGACTCACAACTTCCGTCTGCCTTAAAACAATAGTCAGGTGACCATACTCAAACAGTTGTTTGTCATAATCATTCCTCCCATTTATACTGGACATTAAGATATTACTTCGTGAATAAGGTACAAATTCCACAGTCCTTATAT